TGTCTCGCACGCGAGAGAAGGAGAAGCCGCAAGAAGCGGGCTCGCTCGTCATTCCGGTAAGAAGATCGTCAACGGCCGCGGTTAATCTATTAGAGATTGTTACGTCTATCACGAGTCCGGCCGGTACGTCGGGCGTGAAAGACGACGCGTTAGTCCATCGCCTGTTTTTCAATGCCCTCCCCCTTTCGCGCAACTACGATGTATACGCGCGCGTATACACACGTACACATACACACACGCTTCACGGCACCGCGATAAATTACCATGAAGTCGGTAATTATTTCGGCGTATGCGGCCAACGGAGACTGCGCTCGGCTCGTTGCGCGCTAACTCGCCGAGCGTCGCGACGGGATTTATGGGCCCATTAAAAATCCCCGCCTAAATGTCCCTCGGGAACGCGCAGAAATTTCTGTAAGCAAATAAGCGGCCGACGATGCGCAATAAAGATATAATATTGGATTCGCGCCGGCCGATGTTAATACACTCCGCCGATCATCGCCGCGCGATTGCTATTACTCCCGTCGGCCATCTCGATAACCGATAAGCGACTTGGTCGTCGCCGAGTATTGTTTTTGCGACGGGGGAAGTAATTAATTGAGCGTGCGATCGGGTACTGTTGTTGCACTCGCTTGCATGGACGCCGACGAGTGCGGGGACAATTGTGTCAGGCATTTCTCGAAGATCTCCTTGACGCTCGTCGGGACGACTATTGACTTCTTCCCACCGCCAACGATCGCATACCCGTTATTTTCTCTGTTTTACGATAACTGTCGCACGTCTGTATCTATCTTGCGATTTTCCTTGTTCGGCAGGACAATGGAAGAGCGCAACTTGCGACCGCCGCGATTTACAGCGGCGGAACGCCAATTAAATCAACGGTAAGCTTCGTCCAGTAGGACGTTACTTCCGACCAATTGACTTTATGGTCGCCGCGAATTAACGCTGTGCTACTAGATCGTACGGTGAATTTGAACCAGAGAGCACATTGATAATATATCACATGATTATTTACTTTGTTGTTAAATCTCAGTTAAAGAAAAAAATTAATCTTTTAGGTACTGTACGCCATTATAGTGGCTTTCGCGTATGTCATCTTTCTGAACGGTACGCCATTATAGTGGCTCATTCTTATTTCTAATAAATTATAATTTATTCATCTAAAACTGTATTCTAATTTATTTGCGTAGTGAAAAGCATTACCAGACACAAATCGCAGTGTTGCATTATTTTCGCGCTGTCCGCGTTGAACTTTGCCGTACAGAGATACAGCTCCGCGAAAAGTCCTGCCGTAGTTAAGAAGTTAATAAGACGTCCACAATTTGCAAAAAGAACCCGTGTTTATCCAACTATGAGCATTTTTCCATGAGTATCGCTATTATCGTCGTACTGATTTGCGGAAACTGCTGGCAGTTCTTCGCGAGAAGACCCGCGACGGCGAATTCGGTGTAGACTCTACGTCATTATGAAGTGGAGTCGCGGTGTGTTATCTGAGAACGTGGCTACGGTCCGTGCTCATTCGCAAAAACGAGCGTGCTTATCGCAGCGGCGAGAGGAGAGAGCACTTTCATGGGTTCGGCGCCGCCGTGGTTATTCGCGCGTGCACGAAAACAGTCGATGGCCACGGCGCGATAATGGAATTTAATAACGCGATATGCCTCCTTTTCCTCCCTTCCCTTCGTGTCTTTCTCCGCTCTCCCACGACCTCGTCGTCTCTTAGTTTCTCCTCCTCACGGGCGTTGCGGCGGTGGCACCGTCGAGCGTGTACACGGCATGCCGCGCCAAGCGCGCTCACTGGCTCGGTTCGCCGGTTAATTAGCCATTAAATATCAAGCAGCCGGCACGAGACTGCACGCAGATGGTATTTCGGATCAGTTAGAGCAGTTAGCAATGGGCAATTACGGATAATAAACAGACTGCGCGACTGCGGCAGCAAGCGGCGCGCGTGGCGTGTTGCGCGAACGATTCGGAAAGCCGAGTGGCGTTTCCCAATGCAAAAGCGCATGAAGATCGGAACGTCGTGAAATATAAGGTTGTCGGATGAGAACTTTAGTCGCCCGTTTCCTTCGTTGTCGTTCAGCGAGCCCCGAACACGACTCGCGAATACCGACTGCAGCGCAAAATTCATTCTTCGCGGAATAGAGAAGTTGAAAAGTTTAAAAAATTTCACAATAAAAAAATTAGAATTTGCAATTGACTCATAAGAAGCGAATGCTAATTATAAGTGCATAAAACAAGGAAAAATTGCTTAAATACACGGGGAAAATTTTGTAGTAAAAATTATTATAAAATTTTGTGAATTATTTTCGTGAATTATTTTAAGAACTGAAATGGGCTATTAAACAATTTATTATGTTTCTGCACGGAGAAAATATTGTAGTAAAAATTACAATACAATTTTTTTAATTCTTCGACCATACAGAATTATGATTGAAATTATTATATATCTATTGAAAGACTTCGTGCGCGTTTGGCTTTTTACAGCAAAATTATCGTAATTATTTGAATATTTTTTGTACCGTATATCACAATTAAAAGATCGTTAAATTTTCTACAATAATTTATACCACAATTTCAGTATATTTTATACAGTTTTACAGAAAACATTGAAAAAGAAATACAATTTTAACGTAATTTTTTCATGATATAATGAATGGATTCTGTCGTCAGCATACTAAAAAACAAACAAAAAATTAACAAGTTTAATCCTTGATTAAAAATCTTTCATTTTGATGATTCTCATTTAAATGATTACTTTCACTTGAATGATATATTTGAAATTACGTTAGAACAATTTAAAAATATAGAGAGGAAAAGAGCGTTTGAGAGCGCGAATTATTTACTGACGTCGACCAAGCTCGGATCGATCGTTTCCCGAACTCGATATCCGCGGTAGTAAATCGTTTTAATCGTAACGAGAACAAGTCCGCGTCGCTCGCTTTTTGCGGCAATAATGCTCGTTCCCGTGGACGCGAGACACGTCAGTGGACTTTTATTTTAAGATATACGAACCGACATATCGCGCGATTGCTACGAGAATCGACTCAATCCGCACGAGTTGGTTTAATCCTGCGGAATCAACGATAAACGTCGTTTTCCACGCGAATGAGGTCGATGATATCGTAAAACGCGACGACATCTAACTGCAAAATAACTTAATGCTTGTTACCAAAATCGCAGCTGGTGTGATCCATATTTGTACTATTCGTGTTGCTTATTCGTGGTAACATATCATATTTCTTTACGAGAATAGAATATCAAGCACTATGTGAAAATCGCTAAGCTACGCAAACCAGGCGTGTTTTATGCCGAGAATATGTCTGCGATAATCAGGAAAGGAGGGGGAGAGAGAGAGAGAGAGAGAGAGAGAGAGAGAGAGAGAGAGAGAGAGAGAGA